CAGGGTCTTCTTCCGCAAGCTGTCGCTGGATAACGCAGCCCGGTTATTTTCACGTCACTACCCGGCCAATGGAGCTACAGGGATTTGAGATTTCAGATGCTTTATTTACTTTTACATGCCAGCTATTGTCACAAGAGCATCCGTGCGTGTAAGCCAACCGACAGCACGTCAAGGTGTGTCTCACGACTACCAGTGTTCAGACCATCTAATGATTCTCGGAGTGAGTGTTTGTGTGTTGTCTGGCTGCGCGGCGTGCCCTGTAACAGTGATCAATGAGTTTGTGTTGGAGGTTGGGGAAGGAACATAAGGGAAGTGTGGTGGTAGTGTTGGGGGGCCAGCTGAGATCAGGCTCCCATGTTAATGAGATCCTTGACTTGAGACAAGGACAACAGCAACGCTTTTCTCTCTTTCTCTTTTCTCCCATTGCCTTTTATTCCAACACCCCCCACCACCACCTCCTTCATTTCTCCTTTCGTCCTTCCCTCCATTGTGCTCCCCTTCCTGTCTCCCTCCCCTGTCCTCTGTCTTTGAGAGAACTGTGCATATGGAGGGGAAACCAGGTCACCACCATTTTTTTAAATGTATTTTTTGTTAATAACCTATTATCCCTCTGAACACGCATTCATGTTAACACAGAGGAGGAGAGTTGACTGTTCTGTGGTTAATGGATCCATAAAACATCGGTGGGTGTGTCAGCTGGATCAGACTAGGCTATCTTCAACTGTTGTACAACTGTTGTTCTAGGTGATTTTTTTTTTTAAGGGGAAACCTTTTACTTGTATGACAGGTTTTTATGTTTTTTTTTTAATGCCGTCTTGTAAAAGCAGTTAGCTAATAACAATTACAGTAAGGTGTGTCTTTTTTTGGCTTCCAAATAATCCTCGGAGCCAAAATGTGTAAACGCCAGCTCAACGTAGATCGGCACAAACACGCACGCCTCAAGTTAAATGACGAAGAAGTTTGAGAGGTTTCTGGAATATCGCCGTGGAGCAACAAGGGCTCTGGCAACTAGCGCTTTAAAAGGAAAGGTTGAAACTGGGAAGACGACTGTTCTTGGGAAGAATTTGAGATTCACACTTCCAAGAGGATTGGCTTTTCCTTTTCATTTGTAGTGGCAGTCAGTAACTGAAGCCTCGCTGTAGCGCGCGTCTCTAAACAAGGTGTCTGCGTGAAAGGCAGCACGCACTCTCCCTCCCTCTTTCTCAGCTCTTGTTTACTCGAGCGCTCAGAGGCCGAGTGGGAGCAGTTGACCTCCTCCGGCATGGAAGGGGTTAAAGCGTCAGGAATGATTGAGGTGTTGGTAGCACGCAGGCTGCTCCGAGGACTGGTGCACATTCTTTCTTTCTCCCTCGCTCTTGCTTTCCCTTCCCTCTCCTGCCCTCTGGATTGTTATTTTTGTCCTCGCTGTCTTTTTTTTTTTCCACACAGCGCTCCTCCTCTTTCTTTTTCTTGTTGTTGTTGCTGACTTCCATTTCTTTTTAGTGAAATTGTCGACTTGTTTTGTAGCTCATAGTTATTTTCATAATGCTGATGGAGATTGGCAATGACTTGTTTTTCATTGTCACAGTATAAACTAGCGCACGATCACAATTTATAGAAGTTTTGCCTGTAAAGTTGTAAAACCTTTTCACAGATAGAGCCGGCACGTATACGTTTCTCCACAGCTAAGCCTCTGTCCTCCTCCTGTGCTCCCTGCATGTCTCTGCTTATCTGCCTCTTCTTTGCCCGCCCCATTCCTCTCTCCATTTACCTCTCACTTCCCTTAACTTTCTTATTGTATCCCCTTTTCTCTCTCAGTCCCTGCACTGTTTAGGGTGGGGGGTGCTGAAGCAGCCTGAGTCAGAAGGAAATGAACCCAATAAATCAAGCTCTTGTCCTCGTCTCCTCCCTGCCAGAGCGAGCGGCCTACCTAGCTCGGCGCAGCTACGTGCATTTACCCTGCTGTGCTGTAAAAACCTTAACACCAGCTTCACTCACTGCCATGTTGGTGTACTTTGTACTTTTTGTGTCGTTAATAAAGGAGAGCACCTTTATTGTTAGGGTTGTGTTGATTAAAAAGTGTCTTTGGGACAGATGATGTTTAGAGTTTCCAATAAAGATCAAATTTGCCCCGTTTTTCTGTTTCTGTCTCGGTTTGGTTTTAAATTACAAACTAACATAACTGTGCCTTCTGGGAGACATTAAGGGGTTTTTTTTATCTTCTTTTTGTACCCCTCTGCTTTCTGTTAAGGCGTGCATGTGTCGGTGAAACTGCACAAGCACACGGCAGGTGACAACGAGCATTTATCCATCTAAGAGATCGACAGAGAGCCAGCTCAGGTTGTCACTTTGTGGATTCACAGTATGTTTAGTGTGTTAAGAGGCCCCATCTGATTAAAGATGAAGGTTTCAAAGTCATGATGACAGAGTGCCAGTTTCAGGGTGATCGAGGGCGGCACAGGAAGAAAGATGCACACATCACGTACTCTTGGTTTCCGTAGGCAGTGTAAAAGATACCGCGATGAAAGTAGACCTGCTGATGTGACTGAAAGCACATGCCAATAAGCACCCACTGGATAGTTTTGCTTTCTGACATTTAAAACGACCTAACATTTATAGAATGGTCTGAATGTGGTATTCACTATGACTCAAAATAAGTGACTGAGCCCTGAAACCCAACAGAGAAGTGATTACACAGGTCTTTAAGGGCAGTTTTCCCAGAAACTACTGTTTATCGCCCCCAGTTGCCATTAAATGTGGTTTAAGGCACTTCAGTGTTGCTTTATTTTGCAGACCAGGAAGTAAAATCCTTATTGATATATATATATATATATATATATATTACTGTCTCCATGCTAGAAGCAGTTGATGCTTGCTACTGTTGTGCCTTTTCCATTTTTTCTTTGTTCCCCTTCCTGAGCAATGACACCTTTCGTTTGAAGAAGACTTCAGAGAGCTGCAGTATGAATGCTAATGTGTTTGTGTTGATATCACATTTGCGTACCCGTGACATTAGTCGTTATAATGCATCTGTGTGATATCTGATACAAACGATAACTGGTCTGGGTAGCACCAAAGTGTAGTGGGTTACACATTTGCTTAATGTCTAAAAGGTCCCCGGTTTGAGACCAGCAGAGGACACTCTGTCAGGAAGGGCATCTAGAGGTCTGCTGTTGCGACCCACTGTGAGTAGAACAGAGGGTACAGCTGAGAGAGGATTGTTCAAGACGGTTTGGTCTTTGAGAGCCCAGCAATCAAAGCATGTGCTCTTGAAAAGTTATCACAGGTCCAAGACTTGGGTCCTTGTCTTCAGTAGCGGAGACGCAGAGAAGCATCTCTGCTGCATCGGATGTTTGGGCTGATATTCAGTGCAGGATTCAGACTAAATGTAAGAGCTCAGGGTGGTTTACAAATGCTCCACATTGTCTCAGCTTGCAGAAGAGTCTTTTTCCTCAGTGACTGCTGGCACGCACTGGTCCAGATGTCATGCAGAATCATTTTCACCAGTGGGTTTTCCTTTACTCTTCTGCCACAGAGCTGAGAACATGGAAGCAGTCAGGCAACAGATGTCGTTAGGACAGTGTTTCCCATCTCAGCCACAGAGCTCTGTAGCTCCTCCAGAGTGTTCATCACAAGTGTTTTTCTCACAGTCAGTGGCTGTGCCACAGTTGCATCTTATTTTCTTCTAATAAACACGCTGTAGTTGGGCTTTGATTTTCGTGCCTTGGAGAAGCCTCTAGTTCTCTTCTTGTTTGGTGCGTTTTCAGGCAGTTTCGTGTGTTTATACTGTTTCTTGTCCTAATGAAGTTCTAAACAGGCATTGGCTGAACCTCAGAACATGTGGAAGTTATTTTTAACTCAGAATTGCTTGGCACACCTTTACAGCTAGCAATCATGTGGGCTAAGCTGTTCATTATTCAGCATTTTCTTCTTCTTCTTTTTTTTTTTTAAAGCAGGCTAGCATCAAAGTTGATTTTAGCAGGATGACAGGTCATCGTGCAAGACTAACAGTTTTAAAGTCATAGCACAAGTTCTCCTGGCATTTATTTGTATCTGTTTGCATACAGTCACATTTATGCAGGCTGTAAGTAAGAAAACCAAAGTAAAAATTATTATGGCTGCATTTTAACGTTCGGCTTAGTCATTCTGTTTGAAGCTGCTTAACAGATAAAAGAAAATTACTGGTGGCGTACGAGTAAACTGTCACTTCCCCTCGGGGCTTCCAGGATCCAGAAACTTTGAAGGAGAGTCACCTCATGTCCTCCCTCCTCCCCCCTCCTGTTGTGCTTGTTTCTGTGAAGTGCACCTGCAGTGCTTAAGGGATGTGATTTTTCAGCTTTATTGGACACACAAGTCTTATTTGATGTCTAACAAAACGTTATCCAGCCTTTTGTTTTCATGGACACAAACCTGGCTTAGGTTTGTGCGTGCGCGCATATGAGATATCGGGCTTGTTTTGTGCCCGAGCACACACCTGCTGCTGCCACGGATTGTGCTTTCAGGGGACCCGCTAAAAGATTCATGCAGTCGCAGAACTGAATATCTAATGGCATGTTTCAGGGAGAAAAACGTGTCAAAATGGGACACGCTGCAGTGGAACTACACGCCTGAGCCAGTACGAGCTAAGGAGCCCAGTCCCAGCTTTTGATCAAACAGCAGAGGAGTCAGCAGAGACGGTGACACATGATGGCAGTCTCTAACGTGACACGCCACATAAATTATACAAAGCCGCTAATCATAGTGGCTCTCGTGTTCTTCATCATCTTAAAACTCTTTGTTCAGAAATCCACATGTGCTCCAGCGGTGTTGTTGTAGCGTTCATTCAGTTCACTGTTAGCGTCTTAATACACACAGCAACAGTCATCCGCTGTAGCGGGACACACAAGGCCACTTTGTTTGTTTTCATTTGTACAATGAAGCTGTTAAGTTGACTGACAGTCTCGACTCTTTTTTTTCTTCCCTTCCCCTTTCTTCTCTCCCGCGTCTCCCCCCTCTTCCCTTCTGCTCTGTCCCTCTGCCAGCCGGTGGCGGAGCCCATCCCCATCTGCAGCTTCTGTTTGGGGACCAAGGAGCAGAATCGCGATAAGAAGCCAGAGGAGCTCATCTCCTGCGCCGACTGTGGCAACAGCGGTGAGTGCCGCCTACAAGACTCTATTCAGGTTTTGTAGAGAGAACAGATACAGCACAAGAGGAGCCAATCAGCTGTCTGCAAACTGGTAGAGGTGGGAATCAGCATACATCCCACGATACGATATTATTGCAATTTTTTAAAATATTTTGC